CACAGCTGCCACCATGGCCAGGCCCCACACATCCCGTACCTGTGGCTCAGTGTCCCCATCCACCCCAGCACCATCTCTTCTTGCAATGCTCATTGTGGTCCATGGCCGTAGGACATAGCCAGCCACCCTGCTGGTCACTGCTCCAGTGCAGCTGCTGTGACTCCTAGCTCCCTCGCACGGTGGCCCCGGGGCAGCCTGAGCTGCAGATGCCTGGAGCAGAGGTGTTGGCACTGGGCACTGCCAGCAGCTGGCTGTGGTTCCGGCAGCTGAGCTGTGGTTCTGGCAGTGGAATGGGTGCTGCCCTTGGGTCTCCAGCCCCATCCACCCAGGGCACCCCCCGTCCCAGGGGAGCTCAGGGCATCCCTCCGCAGGCACCGCTGGCTCTGCTCTGGTGCCCATTGTGGTGGGCAGCCTTTGGCTGGCCCACACACCGTTACCCCCCCGTATGCCCTACAACCAGGGTCTGCGGGCCCCTTCCCCCAGCAGTGCCCCATGGCTCAGCTCTCGCCTTTACCTACCTTCCTCTTGTGCAGTCAAAACCACAGACACACGCTCCCCCCCACCTCCTGCCCCTCAGTCTCAGCCCTGTCTCGTTCCCTTCTCCTCTCATTACTCCAGGCAGCTTTTTGCCTGGAAACCCCAGGAGCTACAGCCTGGCCGTGCCACCACCACCCCCCCCGGCACAGGGCTACTGGGTGACCCCACAAATTATCCAGTGCCTTCATTAAGGGACTGTTCCCCGCGGCCCTGCTGCGGGCACGTGGCCAGCTCCATGCTGCCCAAGCCGCTTCCCACTGGCCCTGCTGCCCTGCCAAAATCTGCCCTCGCTGCCGGCCTGATGAGGTTAATTTGCAGGTGACACCAAGTGTTGGTCTGGCAGGAAAAAGCAGAGGCCAGCGATTCACGGCCGATGTGCCACAGTGGCTGGGCACAGGGTGCGTGCATCTAAGAGCTATAAAACAGCTGGGCCGTAACGGCTGATTAAATGCTCGTTGATCCTTAATTAACCTTTTACAAGTTATTTGCATGCTTCGAGACAAAGCGTCCCCAGCCACGCTTCCCTTCTCCGGCACAGGCAGGCAGGGTTTGCTTCCCGCCCCAAAAAGGGCACTTTTTGAGCCAGGCCCCTGTGTCCCATGGACCCCCAGTGCCTGCACCTAACTGGGGTTGCTAATAGCATATTTTAAATCAGGGCTTTAATTTGCTTCTGGTGAAACAGGGGAGGCTAGTGCTGCCCAGGGAGCACCCACACCTGGCTGGGGTGGGCGGCCAGGGCCGAGCGGCTCCAAAGGGGCTCAGGCGCTTGTCTCCAGTCTCTACACCAGCACAGCTGAAAGTGAAGCTCCTCTAACCGCTCCCACCTTGGTGTGATATGGGTGAATTCGCCTTCTCCAAGCCACGCTCCCCATGGTAGCCTCGCTGATGGTGCCCAGGGTGCCCTCAGCCGGGCACTGTGGGGAGATGTGGGGCCAAACCCTGCACAGCCCCAACACCCCCATCCCACACATGGCACTACTCACC